AGGGTGATCCATCTTGTCTACCATAGGACTTTTCAGTGGTCCACTGCCCTGCCTTTTTACATGACAACTTCTGCTATTGAGAAGTTTCAAATATGTTGTAGTTATGAATTAAAACATTATACCCTATTAACCAAGGAAAGAACCTCCCCCGTCCTCTTTTCCTTCTATTGAGGTCCTTTTTCCTTTTCTGCAGTTCCGACTATCCATAAAAGAGATAGGTAGGAAGAGGAACACAAGATAAGTGCTGCAGCAGGCAGTCTCTGACACTCCAGTTATCCCCATGTAAGTGCCTTGTTTTTGTTTTACTGAGGATCTATAGCTTAGGGAAGGTTCTAGGAGAGAAGCTAAAAAGCAGTGTTGTCATTCACAGTGTGCTCTGTTCAGCTGTGCTTGAAGCACCACTCCGTTCTCCCTGAAATTATGAGTTTCTGTGGAGGTTTATTAGGCTGCAGTGGCTCATGAGATACAAAACGCAGGAGGAGTAAAAGCTATTGCTCAGAAATTCCTTGATTTTAGCGTTAAGTGTTACCTCTCAGAGTTGGCTGCATTCTTCAGACACAATCTCGCTCTAAAGATTTAAGAGGACACACTGAGCAGTATTCCACGTTGTAAATAGTCCCATCCATTTCAGTTCCAAGGTCAAGGATTATTCATTGCAAACAAGTTTGTCAGACTGTTTTTTGAAATAATCTACGGAGAACTTAAAATATATTTCTCCCCAGAGAAAACAGACATTTTCCAAACAATTTAGAACTCTGCTATTGTACTTTGGAATGAGATAGAAGAGGGGGATTTAATTTGATCACAAATTTCTATAGGTTATGATAAGCAAAGATATTTTGTCATGACAGAAATTTTACTCTTAGTATTATCATTTCTACATGGCCACAAGTTCTGCCGACAGTTTTATCAATTGGCACTGCCTGGTAGTAAAAGGTTTGTTGCAGGTAATTATGTGCTGCATTTTTTTTTAATACAAATCTTTCCACTAAACTGAGTGGATTTTAAATGCCAGTTCCTATATGTATTGTGTTTTTCTGATTTGTATTCCCACAGTAGATATATCGATGTCGATGTCGTCTTTTCATTACTTATAATAACTGATAATAATTCAATATGAAAGAAAAATTTCTTATGCAGCGCTACTGCTATTTTTGATCTATTTCTCACAAACAACTCATACTTTATTAACATGCAGGGTGTTTTGCACAAGAGATGCTGAAAGCAAACAACTGTTTTGACTGAAAAGGAAAAGAAGGGTGTTTCCACTTTAGAATGAGGTCATTTTTTTTAAAGAGTCTGGGCTAAACTTCATTTTAAAATTATAAATGTAAAAACGTTAAATTTTTGCATTGACAAAAACAAGGAAGTATTAAATATTACTAAGTTCATTGAGGTTAGCTCTTCATTTAAAAATCACGAACTGATGTTGAGCCTTAGTACCATATGCTCTCAAAGGTAACTGGAATTAGGTGTCATGTTTAAAAGCAAGACATTGCTCACAACTTTGTAGTTTGAAAACCACAGAGTGGGCAAGGGTCTGTGTTGTTTTGGTTAGGATCATACCTAGCTGAGAGCCTTGCAGCTTTCACCTGCCGTTTGAATTCTCATACTTCATAAACTCTAGGATGTGTCCGAGCTTTTGCTCCCTGGGTGTCACCCGCTATCTGTGGCCGGTGCCGCGGCCGGTGCTAATGGCCATCCCCCAAGCCACATCTCCCAACTTGAAATGTCATTACTGAGTTTGGAAATAACCTGGACTGATTTATCCCTCTGATACGGATGAGGATTTGAGCTCCTGTTCAACCTGTATGTCCCCGTGCTATGTTACTTACGCTTTTTTTTTTTTTTTGTGCT